CCCCCCCCCCCCCCCCCCCCCAGGCGATAAATAATGACCGGTCCCTAGGCAACAAACACCCCTACCCTATCCCAGACTGCTATTGTAGCTATTTTCCATGCAGAAACTTTATCACTATCGTAGTCCAACACGCGCTAACTAAACCAAAGTTTCGAAGTTTCAAGTTTCAGTCTCGTTTCGTTTCGAAGTTTCAATTTCAATTATAGAACCCCAGGTACTGTTCGCTTTCCCGGTAAATTATACCATATTCTTTACCAAAACTGTCTGATTTCTATGCCCTACACCCGACTAAACTGCCTGAAAACCATACCTTTCACAGCGGCACATACACATTTACCGATATATGGGAGTATCCTTCCCCGTTAACTGGCTGGAACCAAGAGTGAGTTTCAAAGTTTTCTGAATGATAAATACCTGTGGCGAAAAAACAAAAACGGAGTAAAATTGATACAAAGCAATTAGTTTTGCTTTCCCTGACCCGATGATGTCTTCAAACGCCTGTGTTTTCTTAAAGTAAATACCAAAGAAGCTGAAAGTCACTTAATTTGCATATCGATATTTTTAACTCGCAATCGCTACGTACAAACACAACCCGTCACCCAAACGGTCAGCAGATACGTCATTTACTTACCGCGTGGTTGTAACAAAAGCGGTCTTGGTCGGGTTTCGTTACGGAAAAAAAGACTTTAAAAAAAAGAGAATTGCTGTTGCCCCGTGAACTTCATATCAAAAGGTAAGTTTAGCGGTGGCTAAGAATGTTCAGAAACAATATTTATGGTTTACTCACTAGGCCTATTAGAAAATGATAAATTTCACATTCAATTTACAGCATGTGTTTTCATTCGCCGTTATTTCAGATATTCATCCTGTCAAAATGCTACAGGAAAGAAAACAGTTTCAAGACTATAAAAGATTTGTCAAGGAGTTTCAGCGAACTTTCATTTCGGACATCACCAGCTACTTCACTGAGAAAACAGTTTCTTTTTTCAACAAAACAAAGACAAAGGAACAACTATTTTGACTTGTTAATCAAGAGATACGTCGAAGTTGGCAAGAAAGTTTCCTTGATTTTTGCCGCGGATTGCCAGTTTGAATTAATTTGTTTCTTTGTTGTTGTTGTTTTTTTAAGAAATATGACCCATATAGTGAGTTCAAAGTTTTGATGCGTTTTGGTTTGCCGTTCAGGGATGTCCTCGAGAGGCTCCGGGCATCTGCGCGCATAGGATTAATTTCCGATATTAAAAAAAATACCCGACCCATGTATCTCGTGACGATTTGCAGTGATAGTACCGTGTTCACCTTTATAATCAGGTTTAACGTCAAATGAAGCAATGCTATGAAAAATCAGTTAAAGAAGCGGATGGAATAAGTGTTTTGTGTATGGAATGGAATCAATTGAGCAAAGTCCTCTTCGCTATAAAATTATATTGTTCCTGAACAACTTTCAAAATTACATAAGCCCGCGCGTGCAGATATATTATTCCTTCCGTCTGCGGGCTAATCATGTTAGCTGTAATGCGACTTCCTTAATACCTTCTTGAGTTACTTTTAAACCGCATTTTCCTGTCGAAAGAAGCGAGGGACTCTGGCATAAAAAGCAAAAGAAAACAAATTTCACCATTGCAACTAATTAACGTGTTCAATATTGCCAAAAACTGGTGGTTCAATTCAGATACCGACCCTCCGTCAATAACTATTCAATTAATAAATTCAGTCCTTTCTTCAATTTATTTTTACGGCAAAATCTTTTAGAGTTATCCGTCTGGAATTTTGAACCAGATACGTAGA